GGCCCCACCATTTGTTTTATTTTTATAGGTCATTGTCAAAGCAGTGAAAAATTTTTTTTACCTGTCTAAAAAACCTCTCACATATCAGCTTCAACTAAGTCATGTTTTCCATATTTATTACCCCCAAGTAGGCCCAATTTTCATTGCCCAAAAAATAGTACAACAGGGCTTGAAAAAATATGTGCTGTTTTGCCTGGGTGCTAAAAGTATCACCAAGAGTTTTGATTAATGTATCTCGACACTGAATGCATTAACCATACAATATTCTTCTTGCTTAAAGGCTAATTAGAATTCAAGTCAGCGTGATACCTGCTTTTGAGGATTATAGCAATAACATTTGTTGCAATAAGAACCTCTAGGCAGCCAGTTTTGGTAGTGATTGATTTATAAAATTATTGAGGAGGAAAACAAATAAGAAAGTAGAGTTTGTTCTTAAAACACTTATTTCCCTCAAGGATCAAATTTGAGTATAAATTAAAACATCTTGGTGGCTCTGTTGAAAATGAACTACAACAGCAGATTTCAAATCCAGAAAACATATATTTCTGATTTTTAAAAAACAGGATTACATCATTAAAGTGCATTCATTACATTTACTGGGAATTTCACAACGGTTGCTAAGAGTCTCTGATTTCTGGCTCTATGAGTTTCCCTAATTGGACTCTCAAATTACTCAACTTTTCAGATAGTTTGCGTAAGCAGGAAATAATTATAAATAACAATAACCCAATGTTATGTTTTTAACTAGTACTTCTTCTGTTTTCTCTTTTAGGGATTTATGTCCTATATTACTTCCAAAATTTTCCCTCTGCTGCTTTTATTTACTTATTTAGGTACCAGGGATTGAACTTGGGACCTTGCACTTGTGAGGCAGGTGGCAGAACCACTGAACTAAATCCCGGGCCCTTCCTCTGCTACTTTTAAAATGGGCCCGAATGTCTCTGCGGCCCTCATCTCTAACAGCCGTAGAAGACAACTCTCAGCTAGCTTACTGAGCACTACGCTATCCCAACGATGCTCGAGTCAGTGTCTCCGCCTCCTGCAAGTCAGTGTGCACGGTACAAAGGGGGAGCTGCTATCTCAGACCACACCAGTCCTCAAGTTCTTGATCTGAAGGTCAGATCTTCAGCAGCATAGAAGCCAGAGTAAAAACATCATGCTGTACACATTTTGTGGCCACTTAAGGGATTGATTTTTCTGATTTGAGATAAGTTTTATGGTACTGTATCTCCCACACCCTGTTTTATTTCCCCATTTAATTTGTGGGTGAGATACAGTGGTGGTCTACGCTGAAAGGGCAGAAGCACTGCAGACAGTATCGGTGAGAAATGACGGGGGCTGGGCACTGCTGACTGGCACATGTCCATCACTGTGGGACGGGCCAAGGTTTCCTTCTGCCTTTCCTGTGGGCAGTGTAGGAGAGAGCTCCCTGAGGAAGACTTAGGCCCTGAACACCGCGACCCTCCACCCCTTGTTCCTGGAATACACTTGGACAACAGAAAGGGAAGTGGTATGATCTCATGTCCAAGAAAAACTGGGTGACCCTGCTGCTCTTAAATGTCACATTCGCCTATCATGGCAAAGGGGTGTTCACAGTGGACATCCATTAGCCCACAGGCACACATGGGCTGGACGTTCCGTAGCCTAAAATGACTCACATGAGAGAAGAATGCATAGAACAGGTGCTTCCAATACTCTGAGCTGCCCCAAGTCAAAGAAACGGTAATAGCTTTTACTATGTGCTTGGTGATATTTTAAGAGGTATTTATTCATGAATGAATGTATTCATTCACTTATTTCTCACAATATTGCTCTGTGCTATGATCAGTGAAGAGTCTTGTCTGGGGAGGAAAGGGAGGCACAGCATGATTATGAAACTTGTCCTCTGTCCTGTTCCCAGTAAGGGGCAGAACCAGGATGGTGCACTGGTGGTGTGCTCTAAAGTTGCTGGTCTACACTGCTTCATCACTCAGGTACAGTAACAGTAAAAAGGGGCAAGTGACATTTTCACATTTTTCAAAATAGGTATGGAGAGTAAAAAATTTTAAAAGCAGAAACTTGGAACCTTACCTTTTTATGTGATATCAGGACAGCTAGTTCTAATGATTTTTACCCATTAAAAAGTTTATAAAGCTAATTTTCTGAGCTCAAGTCTCACTCCAGAAGATTCACCTCTACATGGTACACTGTACATAATTTAATTTTCCCAGTTGAACATCTTGACATTATATGGACCATGAATGCATGAAATACGAATTCCAAATGCCTTCCACATGGCAAGTGGACTTTCCAATGCACATGCAGGCAGCTTTGCGTGGTTTGAAGTTAAGTTGCGCTTGTCTTAGTGTCTTGTATCACGCATGCTCTTGGTGTTGGTCCTTTGTCTGAGAGGGACCCCGGAGGTGACAGACAGAAGAGTCTGCGTCTGTATTTAGGCACTGCGCTCATTTCTTGGGAGGTGTGAAAGCATGGGGGTGCTCATTAAGTTTCCACCATTCCACGAGAGCAGCAGGTGGTGAATCCAAGCTCCCCTGGTATGTCATGGCTGGCTTCCTCAATGTCTCAGAAATAATGAATGGCGTTTGCAAGCTCTCCAGCCCAGGCAGAAAAGGAAGAGATGAATAGCAACAGGAAGTATTTCCAAAGCATAAATAAACACACAAGTCTAGGAAGATTAGGGCTAATGTTCTTGCTACCACAATTCTGTATCCACACACAGTCAATCTATCTTTTAAATCTTGCTCTTTACTCAAACTATGAAATCCTGGTTAACTGTCTGGTGGTTGGCTGCATGGCAGAAGGTAAAAAACAAACCTAAGTTAATGAAGCTATATCATAAAATTATAAACTTTTAGCTCCACAAGTATCCAGTGAATACTAATGACTGTAACGGGTCCTTAAATTGATTCCTTTTCAATTAATTACCTATGCCCAGCTCTTTCTCCATTATAAGGAAAGCATATCTGTCATTTGAATTACAGTGATAAGACAAAGCTTATCAAACCAAAAACAGAACCTATGATTTAAATCAAATAGTGGATAGCTACTCCATAGTGCTTGACATTTCTATAGAACAACATCTCTAGTAAGTACAGAAGTTTTTTGGCCAATTAATAGCTTCTTCTCACTATAGTCATTAGTTAAGCAGTGAAAAAGAAAATACCAGAGCTACACGACCCCCGTAGAGCACATCCAGTGATTTCTTACAGCTGCAAGAACACAAGCCCTTATTGGAGGTGGGAAATCACCAACGAGCCTCCCAACTGAAGAAGTTTAAAACATTCAGATGAGCCCCAGAGGACTGGGCAACCCCGAGGGCCCACCGGGAAATTCTGCTTGGAGGAAATACGAGCTTAGTACATGGCCATGATGACAAGTCATAGTCCAAATCATACATGTACTGTTTTGGAGGGAAAAGTGAATTCCTCTGTGCTCCCGTTCCCTCTCTTGTCCAGAAGGCGCCTGAGCCCGGGAGCTGGCCATGGGGACTGCAGAGCCCGAGTCTCCCGTGGCTGAGCCAGCACGAGCCAGGCCCCCGCTAACCCAGAGTGATGGCAGCAGAGGGCTGGGCCCAGCCCGTCCAGATGCCTTCCTGCTGATTTCTAACGACACTAGGTTCTTTGTAATTAATCCTGGATATCACTTTGTTAGATTCATTCAAAAAATTTATGATCTTCTAATCATTTATAAAAAGCCATCATTTTTAATATGTGGAAGTTGCTGAGGCACTGCCATAAATTAACTCTGCAATATGAAATCCCATATTAATTTATGGAGTTATTCTGACTCCATCAGATGATAAAGAAGTGTCTTTGACTCCTTAGCAAATGGGTGTCACACAGGGCACTTTCCACTGGAGAAGCCAAAGACTGAACATATATGAAAAAGATGCATCTGAAATTTCTTGATATTAAATCTGGAAATATCGAACCCAAATCTCTTGAGTGTTCACCTGGAGGACACAGTTTTCATATTTATTAATTACCCCAAATGAACTTATAAAATATTACATATGATACCATAAGATCTCTGGGAACTCAACACCGTGGGGCCTCAGTTCACAAACTTGATTCTTTCCATGAATCTGGTTGCAACCGAATTGCAAGCATATACACACTATAATTTAATACTTCTAAAATTATTCAATATACCCTAAGCAGAAACTTCATGGACAATATACAGAACCCTCACACTGAAACTAGGAATATTAATTTCAGATTGGATCAATGCACACCCCAGAGGTTGATTTAAAACTCTGTAAGATTAGAACAATGTCAAGAAAATGTATTTTGTTCCCTGTCAAATAGTTCTGGAGTATATATTTATATTTTAAATAAGGAGTTGATTTTAAATGAATAACTATAGCGAAAGCAGTAGCACTTTAAATGTTGTCAGTTGCTGTTGTGAAAATACTAAACAATTTTTAAATATGTTAACACTTTTAAGTGGTTTAAAACCACTTAAAACAATGTTTAGAACTAAGCTTTAAGCAAATATTTCAAAAGATCCATAGAAAGTTTATGAGTTGAATCAAAACATTTTGGAAATGATTTGTACTCTGCAGTGAGGATTACTGACAGGAAGTGGAAGCACAAACATCTTAGAGGGATTATTACAATGGGTGAATCACAAAAACAGCTGCCTAAATGTTTGATTTATGGGAATGTTAAGACTAATTGTGGTCAAAATCTCATAGGATCTTAACGTTAAAATATGAAGGTAAAGATACAGTCTAGACTTTAAAAAATTTGTATAATTTCAAGTGAAATAGTATCTACATTTACTTAAGGGTCATAATAGGTTAAGGAGTGGAATATACAGTCTAGATAGCAATGGGAAACTAAATACCTGTGCTTGATTTTTATTTAAAAAATTAATTGGTTGAGATGGCTGGGGAGTATTTAAAGAGTATTGTTTTCATTTTTCCCTGTTTCCTTCCAAGTTGGGTGACTCTCACAATTACAGTTCTATGAAGCCAAGACTGTCAGTGCAGTATTTACCTTGATCCCCGGAAGCCCAGGAAGCCCGGGAAGCCCTGGTTCACCCTGCATGGGAAAATCACATAGCATTATAGAAGAATAGCCACTCAGTCAGTCTCCAGAGAAAACTATGGCAAGGCTTCCCAGCTGAATTCTTTCTGCATATAGAAATATACACAAAAAAAATGGCCTAGGTTCCAGAAGTTGGCTGAGATTATGCAGCTCAGTCAACTCTTGATTCAGGGACTGGTCTACTACTTTGCAGGTATTTCAAGATTTTTCCTCTTCCTGCCATTCACTGCTCATTGGCACATCTATCGCAGGGTAAGAAAGAGGAGTAAAAGGAGAAGGAATGTCTCCACTGTATTTCTCCTTGCTAAATGATTTACTGGAGCTATCTATGGAAATGAGGTTTTTTCATGCAGCTCAATATCAAGTACTACCCCAGGCTCCTCTCACCTCAGACAATCAAGAGTTGGCTGTAGGAACAGATGGTCACATCAGAACAATATACATTAAAAGCACTGCTCACTTAAAAGGCTAGTGAGATTTCCTTTCCATTCCTGAATGATGAGAAGATAAATAAATAGTGAAGATTATACTTAACTCTGGCCTGTATTTCTGACAATTGTTGAGTCGGGCAACGTGGTTGGCAGCTCAGGCCTAATGGTATCATGCAGCTGTTCCCAAATACAGGTCCGAGATTAAGTGCTGCTTACTGGGAGCGCAGGAGTTGGGCTAACCCTTCTCATTTTCACAGAATTGTCCACATTATTTTAAGCACAAAGTGTAGGGATGAGAGGTTACATTGCACAACAAATCTCCTGAATTCCACTGAAGCAGCATAAAGGAACTGCAGGGAATAGATGACAACCACACTGGAGACAGAATCAGTAGTAAAGCAGAAGGAGGCTTCTATGCTTTAACAAACCTCTTTCCAAGGAAAAATCTAAGAACAACCAGATTTTCCATCTTTAACATTATTACTTTCAAATGATGAGGAGCTATAACTTGATTTGGTATTATCACAAAATGACTTCAAATAATAGTTTATTAAAAGGGAGGACAATGACTTTCCTGATGGTTTAGAATTTAGACTGAAGGCACTTCAGGAATGCAAAAGAAAAACTATTCTGTCCAAAACTATAGAAATGAAAGTTTGCATTGGGAATAAGTGTACAATGAGATGAGGCCAGAGAAGAAAGGATAATTGTTAAGAATTTACATTCCATTCAAAGACTACTTGTGCAAGTAGATTAAAGTTTACACAGTTCCTATAGTACAGATTTAATTTTCTTTTTTCTTTCCCTTTCATCATTTAATCAATAAATTTAAGAGGACCCTGGAGAAAGATCTTGTAAAATATTATGCTGAAAGTTCTCTATTCCTTTAAAAATGTACAAGGTTGTTGAAGACAACAACTTGCGGTGTGTTCAGAGCCACCCTGCAGTACGCACTGAGACAGCCCATCTGAACATGCAGAAACATGCAGGTCACAGCACTATTTCCCAGTAAGATTCTCATCATTCCCTTCCCTCCTGACCAGATTAAAAGAGCTGTTTAAAGAAAGACATTATATGCACGTGTATGCATGGATACACACTAGCTTCTTTGACAATGAGACAGACGTGTAAGACAGTATGGAATATTTTATAATGTAGGCTAAGTACGGAGACTTTGGCATTTAACCTTTATATCATAAGTATGTGTGTGTGTGATAGGTCATAAATGTATTGCTTGGTGAAAAAAATTTTCAGAAATTTATATCAGTGTCTCAAATTTTTATGAATTCAACTTTTCCAAATTTCTATTTCCTTCATATACTAGAGGACATGGAGCATCTGTTATCACTTTTAGGAAGACATTTCTTCCTAGGTCATTGTCTCTCTAATCTTCCAGCTCAGAGACGGCCTTCCTGGTAGCCTCTCCACGTCGTCTGTTCACGAGCTGGGCTCTCCTGTGGGTGAAGGCGGGGCCGCAACTGAGCACTGCTTTTGGTCCATGCAGAGAAGGCCTGCCCAGGAGCGCCACCCTTACACGGGTGTGTTACACCCTTGATTTTGTCTCCCCCTTTTGCTCTTCACTCTCTTGGGAGAGACCCTCACAGAAATCAGACTGCGTTTCACTGCATGCCCTTGTTATGACAACCCAGACTTCTAGAGAAAGCTCAGTGGTGAGGCTCCCTTTTGATGGGAATCAAGTAATTTTACTTCTTTAAAACTAAAATACACACTTTTAAAAGATGTGTTACAGCACCTCAGATCTCTAGAAAGAACCCAGTGGTGAGGTTCTCTCATGATGGACATCAGCATCAACTGATTTTATTGCTTTAAAACAAAAATATATACTTTAAAAGATGTAGAGAAGTCAGGAAAGAAAGAACTATGTGAAGAAACACAGTGCCTGTCTTATGAATCTACGCATTCCCTCTACATGCGCACATAAACACTTCACCTTATCTGCCAACCACACACTCTACTGCTGAGGCTATACAAGAAGAAATCTGATGAGGTCCTCCCTACGTTATGAAAGTCACTCTGGATATCAAACCCTCACCCTGAAAGGATCACACTGTGCCTCAGGATGGCCACTATTGCGAGTGTGCTGAGCTAAGATCATCTGCACCCTCTGGGATTGTCCCTGAGTGAGTGGCTTACGCCCCACTGAGCCCACAGCAGAGTCTGCATGTAACAAGAATCAGAGGGTAGAGCCCAGAACCCACTCAGGTGAGTGTGTCATTTTCTGACTGGAGTAGGCATCACGCATGGAGATACTTTCCGGTTGGTGTGGGCGTGTGGAGTGTCACCAAATCCCAGCGGTAGACAAGGAAGTTGTGTTACTGTGGGAAAGTGAGGCTGCATCAAGGGTAGAATCTGGCCTCAAAGTTAATGAGAAGGATGTTGCTCATTTCAGGGCATATATTAACCTAACCCTAGACGGGCTGTAAGTTTTTAAGCGAATCGACTCTGCTTTCAGTGTAATTTAAAACTGATTTTTAATGAAATACAAAAGAAATCCAATGTTACTATGAGTAAAGCTATAAACTTCCAGAATGAATCCAAATTGTATTTCTAAAGAATAATGGTAAGGCAGTGTGTTGTTAAGCAATTGAGGCTCACTTCTGCTTCTTCCACTCTGAAAAGAGTAGAGCTGAAGATTATAGCAGAACTATTTTGGGTTGTGCTTTAGAGATGTAACAATCGCGTGGACTTTTTCTTTATAGCAAATCACAGATTTGGAGAGGTATTACAACACAGACTTTAATTTTTAAAGACTAAGGGACTTAACATTGAGATGAGTTGTTTCTTCAGAGCAAACCAAACCACAGATCTCTGCCTATATCACTAATTTCAAACTTCTTAAAGATCAGAAAGAAATATTATGAATTAAACAGTAAAATTTGCAGAGTTTTCCTGGGCTTTTCAGAAAGTCTCACCTTCACCTGGAACTGGGCCTGATGAATCATTTACTCTAGATTCTTAGTTATAAGAGAAAAATCTGTCTTGAAATTAGAGAAATGTTACAAGAATATGAAAGACTTTCTGAAAAATTATTTCCATCCTCAGAATTTTTAAAAAAAGCTTTCTCAATGACAATATTGCTTAAGATTTTGTCATGCTGAAAGGTTCCATACTACTGTGAAATGTTCCTACATTTTATCTTCCTATTCATATTTTTTTTTAATGATTGTGTTTTTTATACTTCACATAATGATTTGCACAATGACTCAATGTGATTGTCACATTTTACAGTAAAAGAACAGGGCTGAAGTCTTGTTCAAGATTTCAGTTGTACGGGACAGTGATTAAGCTCAATGGTTCTGCCGCCTGCCTCACAATTGCAAGGTCTCGAGTTCAATCCCCAGTACCAAAAAAAAAAAGATTTCAGTTGTAATAAATTGAAGATGTGAATTTATACCTCCTGATTAATTATAAATATAATACCATCCCAACTATGACCCCATTTCTCCTCAATAAAAACTGGAAAAAAGAAAAAAGAAAAGTGGAAGGCAGCACTGAAACTACTTAACTCTGCTAAATATATTAATGGATTGTGATTTTGTACGCTCAGCATCTAATGATTATTATGTTTTAAGATCAAATAGTAGCCAGTATATAATGTTATGTAGCTAGATTCTGAGAGAAGAGGTTTTATTTTTATCATATATGATAATAAAATGTAGGATTGAATCCCTAAATTCCTTGGGAACTATGTAAGCCCTCTGATTTTATTAAATTAGCTCTTTCTTTGCCATTTTAACAAATTACATGACCCCATTTTAAAGGACTTGAGTTTGGCTTATTGGTATTAAAATAACCGTCTTCATGAAGGTGACATTTTGTGCTGTCTCTGTGGGTTCCCCTGGCCATTGACTTCCATTCCTATTCATATTTTTGCTACAACATCAAATACTGCTGGGCAAAGGCAGACTCATAATCTTAAGAGAGATCTAACTTATCGTGGAATTCACATTTACTTGTTAGCTACCGTCCATCTGTTATCTAAAACCCCACTGCATTGAGTTCAGATGATAAACTACAACACTTGTTTCTTGACCCAGATTCGAATGAGATCTAAACATGTTCACTGCATGTAGTCTCATGTATTGCTGAAATGAAGCACAAACGATAAATTTAGTATAGCCCCAGCTCAGTTAGTTAAATTGGTAGGGCTAGTGTCTTTAAGTTTAGTTCACGAACACATATAGTTCATATAACATAATACTCATGGCACAGGTAGACTCATAGAAATTATCGAGAAAAAAGTATTTGTGATAAGAGGAAAAGGAATGTAATTTTTAAAGACCTGTCTATCACTCTCTAATGAGACGGCTAGCAGATATTCACTCATTTCTTCTCATGAATGATAGAGACATGCAGGTTCCCTCTGGGCATGCAAGGGAGGCTGTTGGCATTGCAGCGCAGCTGTGTTAGATCAGACAGCAAGGCACATGCAGACTTCGGTTCATAAAGCACTCTTTTACATGGAGAGAGTTTCTTTTCATATTTTGCTATGGTCACAATCGAGACCTTTAATAATGCAAAACAGCCAATAACACTCTGCATGCAAAACATGAAAACTACATCACCTTGCAATAATCATCTTTATATTATATGGTGGATTTCACACATAAAATGGTGTCTGTGACACAGTACAAAGGACACACTGAAGGTAGAGATGTTACCTTTTGCCCTGGGCGACCAGATTCTCCAGGTTCTCCCTGGCCAAAGAAAAGCAAAGATGAAAAGACAGTCTTTCAGGACTTTCTGCAAAGCCTTAGCCTCCAGGGACTTCCTGAGATGGCCTAACCTCCTCGGTCACATGTGCTTTGTTCTCCTCCTCTCCATCCCACTGGACAGAGGGAATTTTTTATGAATATACCAATAGCTCACATACAAATCCACATCTCCATAAAACCAATTTGAGAGGGAAGAGAAGGCCAGATCTTTTGTTTAAACCTTCACCAGCTCCCCCAGATGGCCCTGCTGTGTTTAGCAGTCGATTATGGTAAAAGAATAGGAACAGAGCTGTAATCAGGAATGCTGGTAAAAGGGAAAAGAAAGGAGAGCCTTAGGAATTCAAAATTGTGACCCTGTGGTACAGACACTCACAGAGTTATTACCTTGATTCCTGCAGCAGATGATCCGGGATCACCCTGAAATAAAAACCATGAGAGATCATGCTGTAAGGTAAGGGAATAGGAAATACCACACTCCCAGAGAGCTGTTAGCCACGAGGACACTCAATGGGCCACCATGACTTTGCTCTGTGAGACTTTGCACGAATCTGTCAGCTGTTAAGATGACAATGACTTAGAAGACAAGCAATGTATTTCTGTAAACATGGGTTTACTTTGAATGCAAAATGCATTACGACTGTATTCCTTAAAATGAAAATACTGTACAACAATCTCTTCCCTTGATACCATGCTGAAAGAGGGAGCAATAAATTCTAGGATAGGGAGCTACAACTCTCTGTTTTCTCTCTTGGTGTTTTTATCGCCGGTCGTTGCTGTCAGGGAGTCCCTTGACCCTTCTGGTGATCGCTTGAGGCTGTCAAGGAAACCAGAACAGCCAGAGGAGGAAGCTCACACTGGGCCCTCAGCTGTCTGTCTGCGCAAAAGCCAGGCCCAGCCCTTGTTGTAGATTCCGGAAGCTGCTCGTCAGTCTCTCTGAGAGACAGACATGGGCCACAGGCCCTCGGTCCTTCCCGCACGTCCGCTCTCCTCTCCCCTCTTCCACGATGGCACCTTGTCTTTCACAACTAAATGGCCTTGCCTCAGAGCGGCCTTCACCGTCCGTCCAGTGTGTACGCGAATCCTCCACGCAGCACCGTGAGCCCTCCTTCCGGTGGGCACGGCTCCCTTCCTTAGGCCTCTCTGTGCTTCCTGCGCGCTCCCTGGCCCAGCTAATCTGCAGCCCATTGTAGTGTGCGGTCACTTTGCATCTGGTAAATCAATAAACAAATCTCAAAAGAATTTTTAAAACAGGCCAGCAGTCAAAGATCAAAAGGAAAAAGCCTTTAAGAAGGGAGAGAAAAGGCTTTAGTAGGAGAAAGAAACAGTAAATTAAGGCCCGGGTTGTAGCTCAGTGGCACCAAGCCTGCCTGGCAAGTGTAAGGTCCTGAGTTCAATTCCCAGTACCAGAAAAAACAAAACAAACAAGCAAAACAAGGAAACCCCGGTAAGTTAGCTTGCATGTGAGTTTTGACAGCTGTAATTGCTGTTACCCAAGGAAAACTTAAAATGTGACTAAACAAAGTAGAGGACTCTGCCTTCTGTCTTTCTGTAGAACTATACTCCTTTTCCCAGGGCTTAACATTCAACTGAGTTCCAGATGGGATGTAAAAAATGTGGCCAATAAAACATTTCTTTTTATTTCTACTGAGTCCAGAAGCTATCAACACTAAGGAACCAGTTTGCAATATTTTGTACAGTAAGATCTTTGAATTCATAAAAACAACTTTGACTTTACAAAATTCCTTCTTTCATCTCATTTATGCCTCAGAAAACTTCCAAGAGACAGGGCAGATGTTATTTCCACTTGATAGGTAAAGAAATTGAAACAACTAGAAATTAAGTGAATTTGGTGCTTGCTAAATTCTATTGCTATGTTCTTTTTATTAGAATAAGAAAAGAATTATTGGCTTATTTCATTTTGACAACAGGACATAAAGGCTGAGGTGAACTTGTAAATAAAAGGAAATTGCTTGTAGTTAAAACTTTTTTCAGCATTTTAATGAAAAGTGGTTAGATAACCCACTGTAAGAGAATAAAAACTGGGTTTCTTTCTCATAGAAAGTGGCTAGAAAAAGAAGGACAGATTCCCAAAAGGCTGGCTTATTTGTGGAAATCTGAGAGGTTTTATTTGATGGACAGTTAAGAATGATATTTTTATTCTCTTTTTAAAGATTTGGAACTGTGAAATCTCCAGGCATTTTTATAAATTTTAAGTGGCAAGGAAACTGCTGGAAAACATTCGTAAGTTAGGCATTTTGAAGGATGCTGCTGCAGGGAGTGAAATGGAGCAGTGTGTGCCTATAATCCTCCTCCTCGCTGAGTGAAATGGATGTAGGGTTAAGGTGGGGAAAATCCCCTGTGTCTTAAATACGTTCCTAGCTTCGTAAGTGATGTGGTTTAGAAACCAAAATTTCTAGAGTGTAAGTCAGAGATGGGGATATAGTCCGAGGAGATACTTGAGATAAAGGAACTTGATTTTCACTTTTTTTTTGGTACCAGGAGTCTAACTCAGGACCTTGCGCTTGCAAGGCAGGCCTGACACCACTGAGCTAAATCCTAGGCCCAATTTCACTAATTTCTTATTCAAGCCCTATTTCTAGTTTTACTTGTGATTATTTTCAAATGTAACACTCAGTGGATGATTATATGCATATGCTCACAGAGCCCATGTAGGAGCAGACAGTGAATGTGGTGATATATTCATAGCGTTCATCAATTCACCCCAGAAGTATTTACTGAGCACTGATTATGCACCAAGTGTGTTCTGAGTGCTGGAAGCTGGGGAAGCAATGTCATACAACCCAGCCCAGCAGTCACAATCCCTGCCCCCATTCTGTTTTTATAATAAACACATTTATATATGATCTGTATATATTTGTATATATGTTTCTATATAATGTATCTATAATACAAAACATTGAAAGTATGAAGGATATTTTATTTCTTTCTTTCCTTTAAAAAAATCTGGGACAAAAGAGATGGTCATGTTTGGGAAATCTTGTGTTGCTGTGTACATACACAGCAGCCACGACAAGCAAACACACAGTCAAGGAAATCTTCTACCCTTCTATGAACATAAAGTTCAACAGAAATTCTAAAGGTTTTTCATTCAATAAATATTTTCTAACTATGTGTCAGGAACTTGGGTTGGTGCTGAGAATAGCACAGCCTAGCATTACGTAGTTTTGGTTTTGCTTTTTTTGTTTTTGCTTTTTCAGTGAGCTTGATGTCAAATTTAAAAAGAAATTATATTAAAGTATAATGAGGACTATGACAAATTATAAAGAGTGCTGTTGGAGGATCTCGTAGGTGACCTAATCAATCAGAGGAGCGTTACAGACCGCCCCAAGGAAATGACTTTGAAACTCAGGCTGAAGAATGAATAAGATTAGAAAATGGAGAAGATCCAGGTATGGTGGCACAAGCCTGTATGTAACTTGAGCACTCTGGGAGGCTGAGACGGAGGGATCACAGCTCCAGCCCAGTCTGGGCAATTTGGTGACTCAGTGAGACCTTGTCTCAGTAAAAAATAAAATGGGCTGGGGATGGAGCTCACTGTGAAGGCCTTGGTGGTGGCTGGGAGCCGAGAGGGGCCTGGAGGGAGGGGGAGAGAGGAAATGAAAGAGAGAAAGGGGAGGTGAGGAGTTGGGAGAGCAGAGCAGAGGCGGCTAAGCAAAGAGTGACATGCGCTGAACATGGTAGAGGTGGCACTGAGCAATGCAGGGTGCACCGAGACAGGCCAAGGTGTGATCTGAGGGAGCTAGTTGTGTCGGTGGCTCCAGATATGGTGTGGTTTCTGGAGTAACTCAAAAGGCTGCGTATGAAAAATGTCACACAGATGTCAAGGAAGAAGGTGGTGTGTTCCACAGAATAGAAACTGGGGAGCAAAGAAACAGAAGAGCCGGACAGATATGCCATGAAAATGAAGGAGGAAGCCTTACATCAACAGGTAAACAGTGCATGACAGGGTGACATGGTCCAGTCAGTGGGCAGCACAAGCACCCACTCTCAGGTGGGTGGCAATAGAGCAGAAAGCCATTTCCACAGTCGTCGGTGGGGTCATCACCCCGAGGGGTGGACAGCACCCTTCCACGGTGGTCGACACAGGACTGAACTCCGCTCTGACGGGAGAGGCTAAGCCTGGAGTGCACCGCAGCTGCTGGCTACAGACCGCCCAGCCCAGGGGTGTTCATGGTTCCCCAGCATTTCCAGCTGACCTCTGGAAGGGCTCAGATTGCTTTACCATCCAAAGGTGCCGAGGTGGATCAAAAGGGAAAAAATCCTATTAAAGTGAATCAGTTGATGATGTAATTTACTACATCAATAGCAGAAAAGAAGGATTTAAAAAAAAAAATTTACATCCTAACCTTGGTGAATGATGAATGAGTTTCACATACTGAACAAAAAGGCCACAAAAAGAGTGTTTCCAACATGCTGGAAACAAATCATATGACAGAAGCAGGAAATGTTTAAAAAACACATCAAAAATTATATTCCAATTACAGCGTTCTTGGGATGAAAGCTGGGGGTCAGGTTACACATTATACATGTTACAGCTTCCTATTTACAATCCCGTTCAGACCCACTGAAAGCTTAGAGAAATGATTTCCGTTCTTGCACTTAATTTCAGCTAATAAAACTTTTTGATAAAAAAAAACCAATCTTGTTGATTTCCATTTCTGTGGGGCAAGAAAAGTGAAGGTTTACTGAGAGTTTATGATGTATGAGTCAGGATGGTAAATGATTTGCATTAATGTATAAAATAAGAACCGTATTCCTGCGAGGTGCCTTGGTCTTTTCAAAGAAAAAAGTTGCTTTACAATTGTAAAATTCAATTTCAAAACACGTGTTACTAAAGAAACAACTATCGGCCTACCTTCCAAAAGTGAAGCTTTAAAAATATGTCTACTAAAGCATAAAATATTCTATGTGAACCCACATAGGCATAGTTCCTACTTGGTATACATTTGGTTTTCACTTGAAGAAACTGTCCTCTGTGTAGAGTATTTTGTTGCTTTCATGCCCAGGTTGGCAACTGTGAGCAGATCCAGCTGGCTACCTGCAAGGCCTACAGGCCAGCAATGGCTTTTATAGGCTTAAATGGTAACAAAACTCAAAATAACAATATTTCACCACACGTGAAAGTCAGAGGATTACAATTTCCAAGTCCAGTAATGAAGTTTTATCGGGACACAGACACACCCAGTTACGTGTTGCCTGTGGTCGAATTCACGCTGCCACAGCAGAGGTGAGGAGCTGGGAGAGACCCCATGGCCCAAAAAAAACCAAGAGTATTTATTTTTCTGGTGCTTTACAGAAAAAATTGGCTGACCTCTGCTTTTGAGCAAAAATAGGAAAGTTCATATACCATCATCCAGGCTGATACAGCTAGGGTGTCAAACTTTGAGCTTGAGAGTGGCCGGAGTGTGCCTTTGGTCTTATTTGTATGAAGCAGCTTCATGTCATATCTGATGGCAGCAGATAAATAAAATGGTACTCAACGAGGGTGATTCTGTCCTGGAGACACATTTGGTTGTCAAATTCAGGGGTGTGACTGGCATCTCATGGGTAAAGGCCAACAATGACGCGGCCCATGGTAAAGAGTTATCTGTCCAGGGGCCGGGGATTTAGCTCAATGGTTTCGCCGCCTGCTGCGCAAGCTCAAGGACCAGAGTTCGATTTCCGGTACCAAAAAAAAAAAAAAAAAAGAATTATCTTTCTTGGCGCTGAGGCCAAGAAAGCCTGGTCCACAAGAGACCCAATCCCCTCCAATTCCTAGACGGTTCCTCAAACACAAACTCTGTTGCTACTCAGTAACATTAATTCATTCCCCCATGCCATATTTATATTAATATTTACAAGAAGGAAAGAGATAAATGTCTGTTTATTTTGTGGGCATGTTTTTATGACTAACCATTATCCATCTGTACTGTAATAATTTTCAAAGAGAAACAGTCTTATCCTCAACTCTATGCCTAAATGAATAATTTTTTTAATCAATTATTTGGCTTGATTTACGTTGTCCATCTGATTCTGTTGTAAAGTCAGTTTCTTAAAATGTCTTCTTTTCACTTTCAACACAGTGAAGTGGAATAGAATGTGTCCTGCGGTGGAGAAGTGAGATGTCCAAGCAGCAAACTAAGCAAAAGCTATAAAGACAGAGGAGAGGAGGGAAGGGGAGACTCGGAGGAGGAAAACAAGCCACGGACTACGGCACTATCAACCCTAACCATGATTTAAATGGCCGAGAAAAAAATATAAAAGCTGACAAAAGATCTAGATTTACTGGATTTTAAGTTCAGGCAAATTTTGAAGAGTGCCCTAAAGACCCTAGTCAGGTGATAACAACTTACAATGCAACTTTTAAACTTCGTCCCAAGTCCCTGACACGCTGTCTCCTGCAACTGGACCAAACGAGGTCTCTTTGGAACTCTTTTCCAACCCTGCATCTACACGGAGGATCCCATTTACACACGCGGTGTTTTCATTCCTTGAAAGCCACATTACTGGCAACTTTTTAGTTCTACATTTTTTAGAACTGTTGACATATCATTTTTCTTTCAAAATATTTAAATCTGTAGATAGGATGAGGAGTACTAACATTTTATAAATCCAGTGTTGAAACACTCTCTAGCCTTGGAGAATTCTCTCTGCCCCTGTCCTGTTAAGCTAGTCTGACTGACCTCTTTCAACCCCCCCCGTTTCCACACGAAACCGCGTGCCTGCTTCTGCACAGACCCCTTCATGTTTCACAACACTGTACCTTTTCTCCCGTGTCACCTTTGGGGCCTCTGTCTCCAGCGTCTCCCTGAGGAAAGGAAAGAGTGAGGTGCATAAAAACTGACTGGTAACATTTAAGCAAGGAGTGTTTTTCCCTAAGCTCCCTTTCACAGTGCTGTAGATGACAATCAGTCGCAAATGTTCTGCGCTGATCCGCCTTCACTCGCACAGCTGCCTGATATCAACACAATTAATTTTATTACAGTGAAGATGGCCGAATAGTTTTAAGCTCCCTAACACTGCTAGAAAGCAGTAATTTGCCTGCCGGCCTTCTAATAGCTTATTTGGATACTTGCACCTCCTGCCCCTCTCTCCTTTCTCCTCCACTCAAAGCTCCTGTACCAAAAGCTTTCTCCTGAAAATCCCTCTGGACACTGCCTTACCCTACCCCTTCCTGCTTCTGGGTCCAAGTTGGAACACCTGGGCTCCTATCTGTCTTTTGTCTTCTACCTGTGTAAATCGCACCTCTTCTTCAAACCTGTCTCCAATCTCCAGGGCCTTAGTGTGCAGGACGTGCCTGTCAAAGCCTGTTGTCTGTGTAATTATTTATTTGTGAAATGAAAGTTTCATACTTTGTTAGAAAACTTTTTGTGTATATATGCTTCCTGTTATTTTCGAGACTTCCTATACCCATTCCATTCCTTCCTTCCCAGGCATCTCCTTTCTCTCCACAAAGCAATGCACTAGGGAAAAAGGCCTTCCTCAATTCTTCAAGGTTTGCCTCTTTAAATTTTCAGTTAATTTAAGCTTTGCTGCACATCACAGTAGACGTGTCACAGACTTCGGAGTTGCGAAGACGGCATCCATCTCTGACACTTACTGGCCAAGTGAAATTCTCATTGCATCACTTTGTCTGTGAACCGGAAGGGTGCTTTTTTCCTCTACTTAAAGGAAATAGGTACCGTACTGTGCGCACACCCTGAGCCATGCCCGATGGCCGTCAGCAATGGTAGCAGCGCATGCTGGTTCACAGACGTCACAGGCTGCAATGCCCCTGTAAGAGGCCTCTTCCCTATCATTAAAAAAGTTCCTTAAAACCAAAGAGAAACTGTCATGAACAGTTTCTTGGGAGACAGGAAGTGGAGGAGGGAGATTTTTACTTTTTTCTTTTGTTTCAAATAAGCATGGGGGTGACCTGCTCCGCACTCTGTCCGTGATGGCGGACAGCCCACGGTGGATGCGAAGCTGGCGACTTACCTCACAGCCACCAAGAGGGGTGGGCATTGCTTCTTCCCCTCCAGTTCTGCACAAAAGAGTTGTCTGAGGACCAATTTCCAGTTAACTACCATGAGCTGGATGGATGCCAAGTAAATGTATTGATAATCTATTCTGAAGAAACTTTGACGGGTGGTTTGTTTGCATGCTTTTAAAAAATTGCTTGAAAATCCCTTTATTAGAAAACAAACCTCCTTTAAAAAAAAAAACTGGCACAGAGTGGCTGACTCTAAAGTTCAGGGCTCGACACAGGCTGTTCATTCATGAAATTGCTTTCCACACCCCTCTAGTTTGCTCTTCTTCTAATTAAATAAATGCCCCTTTTCTCTTTACAACGCTGAAAAGTACAGTTACACTGAAGACTTATCTTGGTCATTAGGTGAACTTCTTTGGAACGAGGGGTTACAGAGCCGATTTGCCAGATCCAATCGTGGTGCAGCATCGTGGGCTTCCCCACTTGGATGCCATGAGAGTACAGCATGAGAACCAGGAAGCCAAGGCCACTGTAGGCACAGAGACTCAACACGGCCCTGACAGCCAAGAAGGAAGGGAGCATGCAGCTCCCTGTTCTCCTTTCGCTTCTCTTTCTTGTTTTTATGGGAATTCTTTGTGGGGCACGTTTCAGATCATTGCTGCAGGTAAACATGTGTATCCCTTTAACCCAGTGACATAACAAGCAGCAGAGAGATGTAGATGCTCACAAGGCACTGCAAAGGCATTAGCAAGTGAGCAGCACAGAGGCTGCACAGGCCTGGGGATTGTTGAAAGCCACTGAAAAGTCTGACACAGATGTTCAACTTTGGTTCCTGTCTTTCCTCTTTTTGTAAATCTTTCTACTCAAGCTTTTGTCCATATAAAAGAATTACAGCCGGGGATTTAGCTCAGTGGTTCCGCTGCCTGCCTCGTAAGCTGAAGGACCTAAGTTCGATCCCCGGTACCAAAAAAATAAATAAATAAAAGAATTACATTATTTTCTTCTGACACTAATTGTCAGTTATTTGCTTGAGAAACAAGCAAATAAACAAGGTTATTGCTGGTACCTCCATTTCTGTTTATCATATCTCTCTGTACACCTGTCTGTCCGTCCCTCCCTCTATCCCTCCCTGGTTCCCTCCATCTATTCAGTTCAGTCTGGATACCTCTTTGGGGGAAAACACAGGCAGAATCATTCTTACCTTTTCTCCTTGTTTTCCAGGTTCTCCCTGGGCAAAAGAAGAGAGATTGAGTGATGTTAAATTATAAAACTGATTAAGCAACAGCAAATAAACCAGATATCAAAACATGTTAGATGAATCACATGTGGCATTTTCTATTTTGGCTATATTATATACATAACATATAAGAAAACAAATGGTAAGATGAGTTTCCTGAAGTGGGTATGGATATCAATAGCAAATGTAATTTTAATTCTTTGCCCTTTTACACAAATAATTCCAAGATGACCACCCAGGAACATACCAGGGCACTGAGGAGAGAGGAAGAACACGGCAAACTTCCTATCCATTTCTTTTAATCTGCTGAAACTCTCGATCAGTAAGACAGACCGGAAAGTCCTTGCCCAAAGCCTTCCACTCACAGCACTCCCAGAGCAGGACGGCCTTGCCACCAGGAGTTCCCAACCTGTCTTCCTCTACAGACATCAGGACCTCCAGCCCTGACTCTTCCCAGTGTCACTCCGCTGCTCTAACTCAGCGACTGGGTGGGGTGGGGTGGGGTGTGCTCCGGGAGACACTGAGCCGTCAGCAAAGGCGCAAAGGCGCAAAGGCGCAAGAAGGGAGCGTAATTCCCAAGTCTAGGAGGGCCGCCTCTTCCGGTGATAACCAGGTAGCATGAGTACTGAAAGGCAAATTGTGCTCTGAAAAGAACTCATAACTGTCACTTTATCCTGGAAAGACGACGGAGCAGGAACATTCTCAAGAGCACCAAACCCGTTATGATAATATTTCCTGTTGAAAAATTTGAGTAGGTGCTGCCTGGGCTCAGACCGCTTAAAAAAAAAAAAAAAAAGGTAAAAGGCAATTAGTGCGCATGCGTGGGTGTGTGTATGTGCGTTTTAATTTATAACCCAGCCAGAACGCTGGAGGTAAACTCTGGCTGGGGGTAAACTCTTCATTCTCTGGAATTCAACCTGACCCCTTGGCTTTCTGAATTTCTGGCCACCTTCACTGCTCGACATCTGGCCTGATGGCCAGGTTGCTAGGCAACACAGGAAGAGCACTGTGAATGTGCGTTAAGCGTTAACTCCCATCATTTGACTTTTTAGCGTGGAGCAAGAAGGAAGGAGACAGGAAAACGGCTGTCCCAGAAGGAACATTTTCTTTCCTCTCCTGCAGGACAAAGGACAGGTCTATAAATCTGAGGTCTGTCCCGGCGGCTGTCAATAGCCCTGTGATCTGTAGAATCAGCTGACAGGCATCTGCGGGGACAGATCCCCACCAGCACAGCTGACGGATTAGACGTTAGGTCTGTACTTAAAGGGGTAGGCACTCATCAAAGGATTTGGGATTTGTCTGCCTGTTTGGTTTAAACTAAACTGTCACCAATCTTTTATAGTTAACAGATTCATTTGTTCTTTGAGAAACAAAGAAAACGTCCAATCCAAAAAAAACATTACGTTTTTTCCCCATTTAGTAATTCAGACTCCATCCATTTTTAAATTTTAAACATGCCACATCTTTATTTTGCTCTTCATCTGATTAAGTGGATATGTTGTGTGGAGGCTGAAGGTGGCCAAGTCTCAAGGAAAAGCCACAGTGGTACTGGGCACATCTTCTGCACCGAGGCTCGTAAATACAAACACATACGTGTCAGGCAGTGTGCATGCGGCCTGCTTCTATATGCTCATGAAGGGGCAAGAGGACAGCATCACGTGTAAAACACGGGATGATGATATTATTTAATCATCCCAGATAGATTTTCGGCAACCCTAGCTTATTTGTTTGCACTTTTAACCCTAATGAAAATTGCAATATCTTCCTTAGTGATGAATGTTTCACCATTGACAAATATTCAACCCAAGTGCAACCAGTGAAACAGTAAAAATTGTGATAGCTTTTGAAGTCCTTGTGTCCAAGGATCTGCTTGGCTCCAGTGCACTAACCTCTAGTCCAGGGGCCCCGTCCTGTCCTGCAGCTCCAGGCAACCCAGGCTCACCCTCAAAATGAAGAACAGACACAACTAAGTAAAACGGACAACACCAGCATGCTGTATAGACCACTGAAGCCAATAACCATCCAACAGTGCTCTAGAAGTGGACAGAGAATAAGCGATGTTAGTGGAAATGCGGGTCAGTTCGCAGGGTCCAAAATTCTAGAGAACAAGATCTGTTAACAGGGTTAGTCTTCTCTGTTCAGTCTTTTATTCACCAAGAAATCCGAAGTGACTACCAATGTGAGTACTTAGCATGGTGTTGGGTACATTGCAGACATCAAATAAGTATTCACTGAAGGGATAAAAGGCATTTGAAAACACAAGACGTTCTTGGTTAAGAATTTATAAGTGACTCGTCAGGTAAGGAAAGTAGAGACTAGTTCATTATATTTTCATATTAGATCTAATTGAATCAACATTTACAAATCTAATTCTTGAAAATCACACATCTTTCAACACCTACTTGGTTAGACACATTCGACCCAAAAGTAAAGAGTAAAAATAGCTTCCTTTCATTTCACTGTAAAAATGAATAGAACAGTCTCCAGGCTTATGGCTCTGTCATATTGAATAACAACCTTTTGGGGGAAAAAGACAATGCCAATTTTAGGCTGGAAAAAAATTCTCCATTTCAGAAATAAGATCTCTACTAGTCTTTCTGGACTCCGAACCAGCAATTGTTTTCCCAAAAGGGAAAAAGGTCCCTTGAAGAATCCAGACAGAAAAGGTAGATCTCCTTGTTTCTTTCTGCTCCATGTGGCTCAAACTTACATCCCTTAGAGTTTCATTTCCATTTAATAAACATCCCTGTATGTTCCAACTGGTGAACCGCTTTCTTCTTTCCACTGAGGGTGGTAAAGTTGCTTCTTGGTTAATTTTTAAAAAATATTTTATTTTTCTTTAAGAGTAGTTTTATGTTGACTGAAAACTCAATTGACTTTGAAGAATGTTCCCTAAGTCACTTGGAGGGCGGGACTGGGTCGTTTTTGTATTTGTGTTCTCAGCTTCAAAGCCATGTCAATTCATAATAAAGTAACACTCTTGGGTCCCAACATCTTCACATTCCCTCACCCACTTGATTCTATACTCGGCTAGGGGGAAAGTATTATTTCTAATGATTTTATAGGTAAAGAAACTAAGGCACAGAGAACGAATTTGTTCAGATTTACACAAGTACTCAAAACAAATTTTTTTTTTTGGTACCAGGGATTGAACTCAGGACCTTATGCTTGCAAGGCAGGCAGCATCACCACTGAGCTAAATCCCTGGCCCAAGAAGTACTCAAAATTTGAATGGTCATGATCTGGCTGAAGAGGTTGTGCTCTTCACACTGTGTCTCCTAATGAATGAATCTGTCTAGAAACTGGGAGAGAAAAGATGGCTATTTCAATCCTCATTGCCAATTGCTTCATAAGCCCCATTTATAAATGACCTTCCAGAATGTATAGAAACCTGAATTAAATAAAACTTGCATGCTGATAATTTAGGACAGACCTAGCAATTAAGCTAAGCCAGTCTTTCCAGGACAGTAAAAGGCATCTTGCAACTGTACTGCATTATTACAATAGCTAAAGTACTAACCTCCGGGAAGGGATTCTGCTTCCTGTATGAAATCACAGTATAATTGCAACTCTTGCACGATCCTCAGTAAAATGACAAAATTCCTGACCTAGAATAATGACGACCATTATGGGAAAATTTTGATATGGCATTTATATCTAACAAAGGTAAGAACTCAGAAACAGAATACGCCCTGAAAGCAGGTATCGTTTGCTCTGTGAGCAGAACAAGAGCTATTGAGTCTGCTTTCTTCAAAGTGCCCACAACTGGAAGGACTAATATCATAACTCATGGTTTAATGCAAAGACGGGATGCAGCCAGAGAACAATACAAACTTTGTTTAGATTTTCAAAGAATAACCGTGGTAGCCAGAGTTATTTTTTTTGAAGGTTAAGCCTCTGGAACCAGACAAAATTCATGCTGAGAGTTGAAGCAAGGAAGAGAAAAGTTGTTTAGATATCTGCCCAACATTCCCCTTAATATATGAACACCAAGGGACTAAAATGTGAAATATTTTTCTGTTTGACTTTATATATTGCTAAAATAATCTTTAACATGAAATTTAAAAAACTGTCCCCATAATCTCATCATTCTATAATTTTTTCATTTTGTCATATTTCCTTACATCTCTTATTTTTACATATTTCCAAGCAGTTGCAAGCATATTACCTAGTTTGACATTCTGTTTTATCTGTACACCACACATTTATTTTTACATGATATTCACCACCATCCTATGAATAGTTTTTCTCTATCAAAATGAGGTGTGATTATGTTGAATACACAGATTATTCCCAATTTTGGCTGTTAAAGATCAATTAATATAAACACCTCTGTCCATATTTTCGGTTGAGTTCTTTAATCATGATAAACTCCATGGGTCTGTTTTTTAGTGATTGACACATCTTTATGGCCTTAACCGCATATTCCTAAATTGCTTTAAAGGGCTCTCGGCGTATGTGTTTTCATAGACATGGGCGCTGTGTTAACTTTTCGTAGCTTCTTCAGTGTTCACCATTTTAATTCTTTTTGGGGCCATTTTGATCGCCACAATCGAAAGGATGTAATGCTGTTCAAGTATATATTTCTTTTTCACTTACAAGTTAAGTATTTTCTCGGGTGTTAATAGTTTGAAATGATATTCGCAAGACTTTCAAGCTGAACAGTGGATAAAGCTATATTACTTGAATGAATCAAAAGAGGACAGAAAGAAGGAGAATATCTCACAGCACTTTCGTAAGTTCCATCAAGAAACAAACGGCCGTGAGCAGATGATGACCGCGGAGTCCTGATTCTGTCGCTGCCCACTCAATGCTCAGCAGTGTGGGAGGAGCCCGGGGCAGCTCCGGGTAGCAGCAAGGGGCAGAGCTGAGCTAAGAGACTGTAGGGCACCGACTCATTCACCTCACAGCGAAAACTTACTGTCTACTCCACTGCGTGCGGAGTATCTTGTGGGATATAGAGGGGAAACAGATGACAGGCGGCTGTGCCCAGAGAACTTACTCAAGGGGGGAAGAAAAGATAAATACATAATAACTGAAGGAAGCACTGAATTGAGATTATGAGACTTTCTAAAGAAAGTTTTCCTCTTCTCTACGAAGAGGCATACATAGAAATCAAAGTCTTGATGAAGAATGAATGTAGTGCCAATGTATTCTAACATATGAGGACAAAAACGATCATGAGCCCTCTTCCAGGGAGGTTCCAGTGACATCGTATGACCACATGCCAGTCGGCAGAAAAGACCTGGACTTAGGTTGTGTGTGTGGGAGGGAAGCACTCCCCCGCTTCTGGGACAGCCCAGTCTGCTCTTTCTGAGTCATTCATATTTATAAACACGGAGGACGTCCCACACACGGCAATGAAGGGAAACAGCAGGCAACGGCCTGACCACAGGTAGATGGATGGGGCTTCTCTACCATACACTACATTTTAAGGCTGTCCCGGTATATTACTCCCAAATGACCATTTCTGTCTTTAAGCTGAACGTAAGTTGGACTGACTTTTAAGAAAGATGACAGGCTGCTTTCATTTTTCTTTAAACCAAATACTCTTTAGGACTCTAATATAAAACATCACCCAAGGCTTTTACAATTATTTCAAGTACTGCAATTCAAGGGCAACCTGAAAGAATACTCAAAGATAGAAAGGAATGCGGCTCTCTCAAAAAGACTGAGTGCTGAGGGGAAGCAGGTCGTTTAGCAGTCCTATGGCTCACCACCCCTTTAATCACAATAGCTTCCATTCTGTCCCCGGAGTTTAAAACGAGGCATAGCTTTACGTTTTTAGTGTAATATAATTTTGCATTCATCTTGTCAAGGTGCATTTCTTTCCAGTCATGCATTTTCGGAAAGGACTCATCCAAACAGAAGGGCAAAGTGACTTCAAGGAACATGGACCGGGCAGTGGACGGGGAGGTGACAGGTCCGGCTGTTTGTGGTCTTCACTCAGACACCCCAGACCAGGGATCAACGCTCTTCGTCCGTCCACTACCTCAGGCCGCGAGCTCAGGGGCGTCCCCGCGAGCACACCCCAGAGCAGCCTCCCTCCCAGCCCATCCCGGGACTCAGCCTCTCTCGGGGCAGCAGGTCAGCACTTTCCCGCTCCTCCTTGCCCACCCAAGCCTGACTCCTTTTCTTTCCCATCTGCAGAGGCAGAGGAAGCTTTGTGTCATGGAGAAAGAAGAAACAGGAAACCTTGGCCTGGCCCGTTAGGACCGGTTATGCCTCAGAGCAATGGCCTTGCTCCCAAAAGGAGACCGTCCACACCCATAATGCGACACGCGTACCTCAGCCAGGAGCTTAGCTCGAACACGCCACTTCAGACAGCGTGGTGTTACACAAAGTAATAACTAATTAAACCTAGTAACCAAACCTTCATTATGCGTTTTAAAAAAACTAAGTGCTTAAAAATTCCAAATGTCTAAAGTGTAAACTAAAACACGACCATTGTATCAATAAAGTCACAGGATAAGCTTATTTCACAATCAAGTCTGCTGGCTGACACTTGCAGATTTTGGCGTCAGTGTATGGAAATGCAGACAGACTTTGAGGAAAGGAAATGAAATATAGACAGAAAGCGAAGACTTCAGGGTGGGCTCAGAAAATAGCTAAAATTGGGTTTGTGTGGGTGGGAAGTGGTGACATGCGAAGGTGGCGTGGGGTCCTGGCCTCTCCCTCTTCCTCTCCTGCGAGGCCCACTCACCCTCTCCAGCGCGGGGCCGGGGAAGCGCTTCGGGAACTGCGCCCAACACCAGAGCCCCGGCCTTGCTGACAGCAGCTGTGTCCTGTGTCCGCAGCGCACCCTCAGCTCAGGGCTGCACGCCAGGGGCTGGGCCCAGGGAAGCAACCAAGACACGAGCAACCGTCCGGCGCCCCCGTGTCTCCCCTAAAATAGGCCATTAGGGTTCAGTGCTGCTTTGGAACCCACTCGCCCTGTTAGAAA